AAAATCATAGGCCTACCACAATGAACAAAACAGACAAAAATCCCTACCTCATGAAGCTCATATTCAAAATGGATTAGCCACCACTGCCACTTGCATCTCTTTGCTGACAGTAGCAGAACACTGGTTTAAAACATGACCAACAGGGATGATGTCTAAAAACAGTGTGACATTATTATAACAAAGATAAATAAGCTGTATTACTAAATGCTATGGAGTTGTAGAATTGAGAATAGTTTCTATGTACACCATCTAGATGCTTATTTAGTTGTTTGCATCTTATGCATATGGAATGCAAAATGAAAAGTGTAATAAGTAGAAAGGAAATTATCTTTGTAATTACAAATTATTGTTTAAAAATAGTTGCATTAACATCCTTTAAAATGATAATAAAAGATAGTAATATAGATACTTTTTTAAAGTTTAAAATTTTCCTGTATTCAAAATTATACACTAAAATTTCCTACAATAAAAGTTTCACACTTTATTGGAAGATTGTTTCACACTTTTATTGGAAGATATGTATAGGACTCTTAACAAAATACTTTTAAAATACAAGATGATATTTTATGTATTTTTTAGGAAGCCAAGTTGTCTGAAACGGTTTCAGCTTCTAATGCCTGGAAAAATCATTATGAGAAAATTGTAATAGAAAAAACTGAATTGGAAGTTCAGATCGAAACAATGAAAAAGTAAGAAAAGAATTTAGAATCTTTTTACTGTTTGGTATGAAGCATTTTTAATTACTTTCTTTTTGAATTGTTGATTCTTTGATGTTTCTGTATTTCATTTAGTAAAGGTGTTAGCAACATGATTTATTTTTGTTATAATTCTGTAGTTTTCTTAGTGTATAATAAAAAAAATGATCACTCATTATAAAAAGTGCATTGGTGTCCCAGTTTTATAATTTTGAACTTCATATTTATTAATTTCATATTAATTAGTACTTCATATTTGAGTATGTGATGTTATTTTTAGTAAATATTAATGCTGTTTTTTCTTAAGTGGAAGTATTTTTCAAATAAGAATGTGTAAAAATATATAACAAACTTTATAACACACAAATGCTCTGAAAATCCTAAAATTATTCCTTAATTAAAGTGACTTAAATGCATAACAGAAAATCAATGACTAAACAGTCATACATTTTATGTTTTGAAATTTACTACTGATAAACTAACAATAACAAACCCTTAAATTTTTTTTTTACTATTTTTGTTTTCTATGTGTTCTGTTCATTTTTATCATTGAAAACTAACACATATAATTTGCTTCTGAAGATGGTTGTCATTGTCTTTCTTGATCCTTTCTTTCAACTTATCCCTAAAAGAGTATGTGCTTATGTACATATATACAAATGTGAGAAACAGACATGTATAACTGTGAATGATAGCTTACACTTTTTATTGACTAGCAGAGAGATTGTTGTATAATTTTTTATTGGCATTATCAATGGATAGTTGATTCTATTCAAAGTAACTCTGGTAACCTAGTAACCTTCCAGATTTCCTCCCTTGCTGAGTTCTGTTAACTTTTTTGTGTATTTCCTGTTTGAAACAGTGCATCCTGTGTGTCGGTGTGTGTGCATATACATGTGTATATAAATATATATGGACGTGTATTTATATATATTTCAGAAACACACTTAAGATATGTTACTTGAATGAAAACTTTTATTACTTTTATAAAATATATTATTGATTTTATAAAGACAAATCACTAATCTTTTGGAAGACCTGAAGAAGATGGAAGTCCATGGAAAAAATTCATGTGAAGATATTCTTAGAAAACTTCATTCAATGGAACATGAAAGTGAAACTCTGAATCTTGAAAACAAGGAATTGAAGGTACTAATTATGTGTCTGTCTGTTGTGTATTATGTAATGACAACTTCACTTAGTAGAAGTAACTTGAAGATTCTGCATGTTTGTTTCTCTGGCTCTTAGAGTATTACAGTAGACAACTGCTAAATCTGTCGTGCGTGTGTGTGTGTGTGTGTGTGTGTGTGTGTGTGTGTGCATATGCATATATCCACACACATTTGTATATGTATCTATATATAATTGTTTATAGTTACATACACAGATACATGTTTAATTGTATTCAGCAGTGTAAAATAAAGCTTATGAAGTTGAATAACTATCTCTTTGCCTCAGCTTTAGGAAAATTTATTTACTCTCTAGTTTTAGCAATAAAGTGAATCATCCAAAATTACGTTAATGTGTAAGACTATTGCTAAGTGTCATGGTTACATTAGAATATAATCTCAAGCCTGGTCTGTTTGAAACCAGAAAGTATGTTCTTGGCTGCTTTATAATCAGAAAGAATTTTCCAACTGAGTCAAATCCAAGGGGTGATTGGTTTGTATTTGTACCAGAGAAGAGAAGGGGAAGAAATTTTCATACTTTCCTGAGAAATAAGAAGTTGAGTTCTCAGTCACCAAGAGATACATGTAACCAGATGTTGGCACTATGAATTTCAATTTCATAATACTACTTTTGGAGGACAGAAAATAATCATTTTGAACAATGAAATAAAGTTTGTGTGTATAGGATAAATAACAGTATATTAGCATAATATCCAACACAAGTACATTCTAGAGAGACTTGTTTTTCTGTGTTTATAACAGTGTAATTTTATTATAGCATTTAAGATTACCTAATAGATATAGCAATATAGATTTATTTTGTGTATTAAGATGTATATTTTAATTTATGTGGTACTTGGAGAGGAAAAGATTTTTAATGTTAAAAGAGAAGTAGTACTAAGACCGTTTTTTTTGTGTGTGGTACTAGGGATTGAAGCCAGGGGCACTCTACCACCAGCTCTTTTTATTTTTATTTTGAGAGCAGGTCTTGCTGGAACTTGTTCCTCCTGCCTCAGCCTCTCAAGTCACTGGAATTACAGGTTTGTGCCACGGTGCCTGCCAAAATTACATTTTTAAAGAGCTAAGTGATTTTTTTCATTATAAATGTATTCATTTCTTTTTCTTGGAAAAAAATATATGATTGGCTGTTTAGAATTATGTAAACTTTACATAAAAAATGTAATTGACTGATTTTATGAATTTTTTTATGAGAAAATATATAGAAAATTTAAAAATTATCACCAAAGAAAATCGCTTTAATAAAATGATGGTATTTCATGCTTTAAGTTTCATAATTGTTATTTTAAAAGATTATTTCTCAGAAGGGATTTGGATACAAATCAAATATCTTTTATTCTTTCTAAATTTTCTTTCTTCATATCTCTAAAACATCATGTACTAGAAAGAGAATTTAATCCATTGTAGATTTTGGCATATTTTCCCAGGGCCAATCTATTTTTTAGGTACTGTAGTATACAGTAATTAAAGGGTACTTCTGTGTATGACAGAAAGGTCGCTGTACCCAAGCCAGAAAGATCCTTTCCCTATGTTGGTTTATAATATTGATCTTTCCTCACCTTGATTTTCAGTCTCCTTTAAGTCAGTGGTCAAGGTCAGGCTCATAAAGCTCAAGCCCATTTTGTTCCAAGTAGAGAGATTTAATTTATTTAAAGGAGGACTTGAACTTGACAGTGCTGTTGCCTGTGGTCCTTTGGGAATGAATGGAGGAAGTGTTAGGAATCTAATTGATACATGTGACAGGAAGTAGCAAGGTTCTGCTTTTTTTCACCTTTAGCTTATTTAGTAATATCATTATTTTGGCTACATTTGGTAAAGAAAGATTTTTTAAAATCAGAGTTATAACATATGTACTTAACTTTTTTTTTAATAGCAGTGACATTCAGAATTAGTAAATTCTCTAAACAGAATTTTTCTCTCAGAAAATTCTGTAAGTTCATAGGTTTTAGGTAATATGGATTTCTTATTTTCTTTATAAAAGAAATTCAGTTATTTAGTGCATAGCTCTACTCTTCATTATTTAGTATTATCTTCTGAGGGAAGAATGCATATTCATTATAGCAAACTTAGAAACTATTGAAATACAGAAGGAAAAGAACACAATAACTATTGATTCCATATATCCTGGAGATAATCACATTTTGTAAAATTTGTTTTTATTCCATAGTTGTCACTAAATATGTCTTGCTTTGTTCAATTTAAAATGGAAAATATATTACAGAAGAGTAATAAGTATAAACTTAACACTAAGCATCCTTTGTAATTGCTTTGTGATATATATTCCCTTTGTGATATGTATTCCCCTAAATCACATTTCATTATTCTCAATTTTTTAACTTTTACAAACAATGCTCTAATTTTTTTTTTTTTTTGTATATAAAGGTTTTGTTGTTGTTGTGTTTTCTTTAGCGTAGATTCCCACATGTAGGATTACTGGGTCAAGGGATATAAACATTTGTAAAGATAGCTTTGCCACATTTTTTTTCTCAAAAAATTAGGTCACTAACAATGTTACTAATTCTCTATACTTTATCAGCACTAGAAATAAAATCTATTGTTTATAACTTTCACTAATTTGAGAGATAAAAATTATATCAGTGGTTTTAATATGCAGTTCGTCGAGAAGCTAGTTTTAAATCTCTAAACAGTTACAATTTCGGGCTCTTCTGGTGGTTATCTGTATATCTCTAAACCATACACCATAAGTATTTTGTTTTATCAAATTTAGTCACTTATAATATATATATATGTATATATATATCATATATAATATATATTATTTAGTCACTTTCTAATTAGTAGGGCACTAACAAAAATGACTAAATACTCAGACAACTAAAAAGACATGTTAAATTCCTCATATAAAAACACTTAGTAAATACTTACTTAGGAAAGTCAGGTTAGATTCATTCCACTGTCTTTCCTATTCCTATCCCCACTCCCTTACTGTCATTCCCCTTTGTCTAGTCCACAGAACTTCTGTTCTCCTACCCCTTTTTTGTGTGTTAGCATCCATGTACCAGAGAGAACATTTGACCTTTAGTTTGGGGGGATTGACTTATTTTACTTTATTATTATTTTTTTTTAATAAAGGTGGGTTGATAGAAGAAGTTTTTTAAAAGATTGTTTAAAAAAAGATTGTTAGGGACACAAAATTCTTAACATAAGGGCAAAATGCAATAAACACTTCCAGGACAGGGTTTATAACCACAGAAGGAAGAGGAAGAACCTGGGGCATATTGGCTTTATGTACAGTGCATCTCTAGGTGTGTGTGCATGTTTAATTGCGTTTGTGCATTTTATATTCAGCTCATGTTTTTTTGATGTTGCAGACTATTATAAGCTGGGAAAAAATGCAGTAGAACAAAAGTGACTTCTTTTGTCACACTGGCATCATTCCTCTGCTTTCCAGTGGGGCAGGTGGGGGCGCTTCATTGGACAGATGTGAAACACAAAACAGATTATATGCATTGACTTCCTGTTTAGTAAGGGTACTGATGTCTACTTTTCTCTTCATCTTTTTTCTCTTTTCACCTCCCAGTTTCTTTTTTATGTTGCTAGTACTGTTAATCTTGACAATTTGTCCTGTATTCTTAAATTCTCTTTTTATGGATTAATTCTAAACACAGACAACAATGAATACGTAATTGTTCTTTAATTACACTGTCAAATAATCTTTACAGTTTTTTCTTTTCCAGCTTTTTAATTTTTCCTGGAATTTCCAAATGTCTGCTTGTTGTGCTCTTTGCCCTTATCATAGCCTTGTTTTTTCCTGAAACTCTCATCATGTTTCTGTTCTCTGAAGAACCTGTTTTCCCTGGACTCTTCTACTTGAGACCCTCTGTCTTCCTGTTTTGATGCTCATGGGTTGGTCTCCAGGCCTGCTTCCCAGAAGCTGTGCTGGACTTTGGCTGCTATTATGGTTCTGCTGTTTCCTGGATCTGATGTTGTCTTTCTTGTTATTCCTCATTTTTTTCAGAAATATATCTTTTTAAAACTTTCCTTTAAGAAAAGGGAAGTAAACATAAAGTTTTTACATGTCTAAAAAATGCCTTTATTCTGTCCTCATTTTGGTCAATAATTTCAGCTATAGAATCCTAAAGGGAGATGAATTTTTACTCAAAGCTTTGATGGCTTTGCTTTTTTATCTTCTAGAGTTGCTGGTGGAGAAAATCTGTTGACAGTCTGATTCTTTCCTTGGTAGTGACATTTTTAATTGAAGTTTTTAAAAAAAATTCCCTTTATCCTTGATGTTTTAGAATTTCAAACACATTTTCTAGGTATGTTGTCTTCTTGTCCACATTGCCAAGTACTTTATTGATCTTGTACATACAAAGATTAACATTCTTTTGCTTTGGAAAATTCTAGTATTATTTGATTGGTAATACCCTTGCCCCTTTCCATCTTTTTGAGTCTCTATTACTAGATGTACTGCTGATAGTACTGATGATTTGTTGTTCCTACTGGATCAGTACTGTTTCTACAATCTCTGGTTTTTGTTTAATATTTTAGGAGATCTCCTTGATTTTTATCTTTCTTACAAAATTTGAATTTTCAAGTTTTCTTTTTTTTCCAAATGGGGTAGTCCTTTTTGTGTTGCCCAGGCTTTGGCAACATGCTTTGTGCCTCAGCTTCTAGTATCTAGGACTGTAGGTGAGTCCCATCGCTCAAGAATGTCTAAATTTTTAGTGTTCTTTGAGTGTTCCTATCATCAAATATCTGAAAATACTTATGAGAATAGTTTTTTTATTTTCCCAATTTATTTTTTCTTCTGGATCATGTATTTTTCTTTTTAACTAAAAAATTATTGAGATAAGAAATGAAACTTTAAAAAAAATGAAACTTTTTTTAATTGGGTTTTTTTCGTATTGCTCTCTTTATTCAAATATCTGATGGCACTTAAGAATTTATAAATGAGATGATAGAAAAACTAATGAGAAAATAGACAATTAAAAGCCAATCTGAATATGTGGTTAGTCTTTTTTCCTTGACAGATATTACTTTACTTTCTCCCTGGTAGCCCTAAAATAATGCTATAACCATAGGCATCTTTACTCTGGGTCACCAACACCATTCTTCTGTTCTGGTTCTCCCCAGAAAGGTAACTCAGTTTCTTTAGAGAAGAACCTTCATTGTTTTTATTTTTTCGGAGGTAAAGGCCTGGTTGTAGGCATTCCTCCTTGAGTATGGCAGAGGGGTATTAGTGGTAGTAGTGGTTATCATTCTCTTCCCAGACTTTGAATTAATCCTTTTAACACACATTCTACTCTTGCCCTCAGCACTGTGCCTCTCTAGATTATACAGGTACATGAGCTTCCTCCTTAGCTGTATTCTTTCCTGCTTCATTAATCTGTCAACAGCTTTCCAGAAGCGTCAAAAATATTTTTTTATTTCATGGCTCATGGACCATTCTTTTTAAGTGGATTTGTAAACATTATTATTTCTATATTAGTTTTTTCTTGGGAAGGAAGGGAAATAAACAAATGTGGTCTCTAAAAGAAGACTCTTTAATTCTATTTAATCTAGGGTGTACTCTCTGATAAAGCACATTAATAATCTTTACCCAGTAAGATCACACAGCTAGTTTAGTGGAATAGTAGGGATTAGAATTTGGATGAAGGAAGGAAGAAAATACTGCATACAACCTTGCTGATATTTTATAATTACAAACTTGATTTCTCTCATCTTCTAAATTACATGAACTTTGCTAGAATATAATGGAAACTTCAGTAAACAAAATACATGAACACCTCTAGGAAAGAATCTTTTGTATTTCAGCAAGTCTTATATTTGCTAAGATTCAACTTCACTGTCTCTAACAGAAAACCAAATAAAGTGGTTTAAATAAAGTAGGAGTATATGTTTGTTAAATAAAGAAGTCCATACTTGACAGTTCAGAGTTGATATGTCATTGGAGATCTTAACTTCTTTTTAACTCTGTTGTGCCATTCCTAGACTGTGACTTTTATCTTCATAATTCAAATGGCTTCTAGAACTCCAACCAACTCCAACTTGTAGACAAGTTTCAAGCAGCAGGATGGACAGGAAAAAAAAAAAAAGAATTACCTCTGAAAGTCTTATATGACTTGACTTTTAACTTATTTAGATATATGACCCTTTCCTTTAAAGCTTAGATCAAATGCCACTTCCTTCTGAAGTCTTCCTAGTGAGGATGAATCCATCCTTATAAACTACCATTTTGTGTGCACAGGTGCTCAAGGAAGGTGTAGCATAGCCTCAGTGCTCAATCAATATTTGTTGAATGTACTTAAGTTGCTTTATCCTTATTATTGTTTATTATATCCTTCCAAGGGAAAGGACTAGGAGGAAATTTTGTTAATTATAAATCTGTTTTAATCACATGATAATGAAATTAATTTTAAATTAGTAGTTATTGAGTTCAAGTTTATTTAGGCATATTCTGTTAATAATTCAGAAACATGTATTTATAATGCATTATTCTTGAGATTTTTGTTTAGAGAGAATGTCTAGGAATGTTTGACATATAATAGAAAATTGCCTAGATGTTTAATTTTATTTGTTTAATTGTTATTCTAAATTACATCTATAAGATGTTTAATTGTTATTCTTAATTACTTGAGAATAGTTTTAGATTTTAAAATTTTAAACAAGAAGCTTACTGATATTTCTGCGATGATCTACCAATCTCCTCTGTTAAAAACAACCAAAGTTTATTTGCAGGGGTTATAAAGTTTTATTTGTTCATTATATATAGTTGGAAAAATAGAATGGCACAAAAGGAAAAAAATTAAAAACACTTGTGATTTCACAAGTGAAAAACAACTGAAGTTAATATTTTGGTGTATATCATTTTGTATATTGTTTATATATATATTACTTTTGGTAATACAATTTTTCACATTATAAATAAAAATGTAGTTTCTTTGGCTTTTTTGCAAACCTGTTTTCTTAGAATAAATTTTGAGAAATGAAATTATATGGTCAAAATAGAAGACCATTCTGGTTATATATTTCCAAATTGCATCATAAATATATCTTCAATTGGCAAAAGAATCCCTATACTTTTTCCAGTTGTAGGCAATTAAAAGTACTAATTTTAAAATGAATCTCTCCAAATTTGTTATTCTCATTTAGTAGTTATTAGGTAATATCAGTCTTGTAACCTTAAATACCATCCAAATGCTGGGGGTTCTCCAATTTATACCTCTAGCCTAGAACTTGCCTTGAAATTCCACACATAAATTCTGTTGCCTATTCGTCATTTCCATTTGGATATTTAATAGATGTCTCAAAGTTATCATGTCCAAAATGAAAATCTTTGCTATTTCCCCATATCATTCATTCTGTGGTTTTCCTTATCTCAATCCTTTCTTTCTTTATCTCATATTTTCTCTCATACCATACTTCCAGTCTATCAGCAAATCTTCAGATATATCCAGTAATTGGTCACTTCTCACTAGCACCAGTTTCTTTACCTTGAGTCAAGCCACCATTATCATTATTACCATGACATCCTGACCATTCTCCCTGCTTCTGCCCTGGGCTCTGCAGGCAGCATTCAATGTAGCAGTTGTCAACCATGCCACTGTTGTGCTCAGACACTCCCCGTAATGGTATCTGGGTTTATAGAGCAAGTAATATCATGATAACATGATATCACCATCTGGCTTTCAACTACCTCTCTAACCCCATCTTCTTCCACTCTCATGTTTTCAAAGATAATTGTGTAATTCACATCCTTAAAAAATCACAGTGCTTCTCTTCGGAACAAAGGGCAGGCATACTTACTGCCTACTATGATATTTGGGTTTTCCAAACTCAGGTTTGTTGTACAGTAATACATTCCACAGCATATGCAGTTGTTATCTGGCCATCTTTGTTTTGCCCTGTGGGATCCGGGGCTCAATAAACTGATAAAAATGCTGACAGTCTTGCCACTTTTATTGCTGTGAATAATAAAGTCCTCTCTCTGTGATTAGGAGTCTTGTGTCTTCTGCTAGCATCCATGAAACTGTGATAGGCTAACGGTAGGTAAGCTTTCAAGGAGAATAAAATCTCAGATCTTTACAATTCTTCATAACTTATTTTGATTTTATGCTCAGTAAGGTTGTTACCATTCTAAAAATCAAATACATTTTTGCCTGAATCTTGGGGAAAATGTTTAAATTTGGGTTTTTAAAAATATGCTTAATCTTCAACTCACTTGATGCTTTTTTAGTGTTGGGCTGAGGCAAGTAGTTAACATGTTTTGTTCCTAATAATCGTTTATCTCATTTATTTACTGACCTATGTTATATTGATTTAAAAATTCAACTTTATTTATCATATACTTAGTGTAGTTTTTGTATATTTTTCTTTTTCACCGTCCTCTGTATTCTTATATTAATAACAATAATTTTAGTTCTTTACACATTTTAATATTTAATAAGCATTGACATTATCCACTTAGTATTCCTGTCGAAATTGTACTGGTGGGCTGGAGTTGTGGCTCAGTGATACAGCACTTGCTTAGCATGTGTGAGGTACTGGGTTCAATTCTCAGCACCACATATAAGTAAATAAATGAAATAAAGGTCTATGAACAACTTTAAAAAAATTGTACTGTTATTTCCCATTTATCTTCCATGTAAATTTTAATTAATTTTGTCATATCCTCCCCAACTGTTATACTTTTGAAATTATAAAGTGTTACATTAATTTAAAAAGAACTATCTTGTCAAAATTATTCCTGTCTTTTTGTCAATAAATTTTTAAGAAGTTTTAAAAAATATGTGACCCATGCAAGTCTTATTAAATTTTTTTATAAATATTAGTCACTAACTTTTCAAAATTCCTAAATTTCAGATGGTAATCTATATAGTAAAACTAATTATTTTATTAATTTTGTTGATAAATGAAGTATTTTTTAATAATTCTGTAACACTGGAGTATAAATGTATTCTAATAGCTTATAAAGTCTATTATATATTCCTTCTAGGGTACACTTGCTGCTTTGGAGGACAAGGTTGTTTCTGTTGAAGAGGAACTCTTAGAATTACAAGAACTAGAAAACCAACAGAAAACACTTATTGAAGTGTATAAAACTCAGGTGACCACTGCATCTAGTTTCAAATTTGTTAAAATTGGTAGACAATTTAAAACACTGTATTTTATTTGTGATCTAAATAAACAGAAATGAAGAGGTGGGGCTATTATTTTGTGACATATTATATGCCCCAAATGTTTCTTAAGGTCCCAAATACTTTTATAGATAGATGATTTGCTAATACCTAATTCAAACACTGCCTGTGGGTATATTGGATATTCCTAAAAGTAAATATACAATTAATTCATTGGCAGAATGTGAATTTTTTTTTTATTTTTTAGTTATGAGTGAACACAGTGTCTTTATTTTACTTTATGTGGTGCTGAGGATCGAACCCAGTACCTCATGCATGCTAGGCAAGTGTCTACCTCTGAGCCACAACCCAGCCCAATAATGTGAATTTTAATGTATAATCTTATTAATCTTGATTATATTTGGTTTTTCATCTTACATATTTAACGTTATCAACTTACAATAATGATGCCCTTTCAGGGTCACTAATGTCCAACATTTCATCTTTCCTAATAAAAGTATAATTCAGATTTATTTATGTGAAAGACCTTGAAAAGAGCTTATGACAATGTATGTGAAATAAAGCACATATTTAATAGTAATTTGTAGAAAAGCTTTGTTTTGGAAATATAGTATTCTGCTTCATGGAAAAAATGAAACTTTTGTAGATTTTTCCAAGATGAATAACAAACTGGTCCAATAAAGATCGTTCTCTCTCTCTTTTTTTTTTTTCTTTTGGTATTAGAGATTAAATCCAGGGGCACTTAAGCACTGAGCCACATCCCTATCCTTTTTATTTTTTATTTTGAGACAAGAGTCTTACTAAATTACGTAGGGCCTCACTAAGTTCCCAAGTAGAGCTTTGAAATTGCAATACTCCTGCCTCAGCCTCCTGAGCTGCTGGGATTACAGATTTGTACCACTGTTCATGGCTCAATAAAGATCTTGAATTTATTGGAAAAAAGAGTTTGAGTTAAAGAATAATGACAGACTGAGGGTTTAGGTCAGTGGTAGAGCACTTGCCTAGCATATACAAGGTCCTAGGTTTGGTCCTCAGTACCACCTTAAAAAATAATAATAAAAAGAACAGAAAGAAGATAATGAATCAAAGGGGAAAAGGTTAAGGTAGGACAAAGTATATGCAAGTGGAAAGGAGTTCCATGCATCTGGATGGATTAGATGGTAAAACGGAGTTGAGACATCCAGTTAGAATATTGTAGGCAGGAGGAAAGAATGGAGTCTATGAAGACAGTGGATCTGTTATTGAGAATGTCATCTGGGTCTTCCACTTGGTTGTGCAGATTTAATCCCTCAGCAAGAATACTATAACTGAGTTACCATAGAATTTAATTACTGAAGTGCTCACCTATTTTTTGAGCAGATTTTCATATGGTAGGAGAAATTATTGGATTGAAAGCTGGTTTGGACTGGAGACTAATACTTTAAAGTAACTTTTACCTGCAAATCTCTGTAGTTTTCAGAGTTCAAATGAAGAGGCTAGACGCATTGAGGGAAGAAGACAGGTAAATCCATAAAAGAATTGTGGATTAGAGTAGAGCATTGAGCAATTTCATATTTAAAGAAGGAATAACATTAGATAGATAAACATACTGAGGGTATTGGTAAGGAAATTATGATTTATTTAATTTGAGAATCCAGATTTTTAGTTTTTATTCATGCTATAGTCCAAATAATTAAATAACACATGGTACTCTAATAATGCATTTTATTTTTAGGTACAAAAGTTGCAAGAAGCAGCTGAAATGGTGAAAAGCAAGTGTGAAAGTTTGCTACAAGAAAATAATCTAATGACAAAAAACAAAAATAAAAAATTAGATGAGGTAATTTAAAAATTTGAATTGTAAGATAATATTTATATAGTTTTTTCTCTGTGAATGTTATACAAATTCTTTCATTTTGGTCATTTTCTGTGGTTTTTACCTAGGAATGGTCTGTTCTCAGTCTCTGTAGGAGTTTTTTTTTTCCTGAGGAAGTAATGTTTCTTCCAGACTTGAAATGTTGTTTGTTTATGTGAATGTTTTATCACTTTTTTTCTTATGATTTAAGAAATAGCATAGATGTTTATTATTTTCTGATACAGAATCAGACTTAAACTTTAAAATCTGATTACCATTGAGATTTATCAGCCCATAAAATGCAAACTAATCTCACTATTTTTTTTCCGGGTTTAAATTTTTTTTTTTTTTGGTGTCTAAAAAATTACAAAGTAAATACTCTCTGCTAAATGCATTTTTGAAGAAAAATGATACCTTTTTTAAAAAATCGTCATTTCCTTTTATTTGCCCTATTGCAACAGAATAGGGGAAGGCCAATGTTGGCAAGTGAACATGTTTTTGTGAATATTTCTAAGTTTTAAATGAAACTGCATCCCTTTTTGGAGTTTCATGTTGTTTTGGTAAGGAAGCTGTGAAAGTTGTCGGATGGTAACTCCTGGTTGGAGAGGTTGTGAAGTTAGTGGTCAATTCCAGCTGGGTGTAATAAGCTGGGTTGCTCCCAAATTTGGGTTTCTCAATCAAATAAGACACCACTGGAAAGAAGAAATAAGCCAGAGCAGGCACACTGCGTTAAACAGAGGTAATGGATAGTAACCCATCCAATGCTCAACTTACCAGTTTCTTAAAATTATTTTTCATCTATTTTTAGCAGACAGTATTTATGTCTTTTGGTTTCCTTCTCAGGAGATATTTCCAATGAAAATGTTTCCTCTTCAGCTAGGCAGCATTGTAAGACGTCTATTTTAAAAATCTGTGTTCAAGGGCACAGAGGGCAGAAGCTTGTGTTTTTCAGCTACTGTTTTTTTTTTTCTTTTTTTTTTTTTAGTTACTGATCTACAACCACAAAAGTAATTTTGGTTTTAAATTAAATCTTTTTCCTTTTCAACTAAATTTCCTGGTTTTCTCTTGGATCTTAGGTGTTTTACAGAGTATGCTTTCTTTCTGTTTTCATCTTTTGTAATCAAGGCTGCCAGATGCTACATAGAGGATACAGGTGTTCCCTTTCTCAGGGAAAGAGTCATACTCGTGGTTTTCCTCCTCCTTATGAGCACCCTAAATGCCAATTCTGGCTATTTTTTTTTTTTAATAATTAACAGTATGAGCATTTTAAAGATTGTTTTGAGTCACCTGTCCACAAAAGCGCTTCAGAGAAGAACTATAGGATGCAGGTTTTAATATAGATTGGGGTTAATATAATACAGATGAAGTCAGAGAAATATGTTCATTGTAACCATGATCAAATAAGTCAAGTGGAAGCTCATATTGTCTTGAAGTAACATACAGTAAACCCACCAATTTGAGCCACGATGAGTGAACCAGGGTTGCTCTCTTTTAGTTAAATATCTGAGTTATAAGATTGAATGACTGAAAATGACAATTACTTGATAGGCTGATGGTAGAAAATGGAAAAGTAGTATACCAATTTTACTAATATTAACATCTATTCACAAAATGACAGATGTCATTTTGCTTTCATTCACAAAATGACAGATGCTTTCCTAAGTAGTTTAAACACCCTCTTCTCAAGCTAATATCATATTTGTTTTCTTAACAAACCTTTTGGAAATTAATAAAGGGCCAATCCACTTTAATTTTATGTTCTTATGTAGCAGAATCTAAGTTAATATTTGTTCATACTTATTTTGTTTAAATATTGTTGTTTAAAACCATTATACCTAAAATACTTATTATATAACATTTATCTAGCATTTAAAATAATAAGAATTTTAATGCTAAATGTGTGATCTTGCACTTATTTCTCCTAATGCCGCACTCAGATGAGAGGCCAGATGGAGTCTCATCTGAAGGAGGTAGAGCATATCCGTGATTCCTTGACGGCGGCTGAACGGAGGCTTCAGGAGTCTCAAGAGAGCCTGCAGCACTGCAAGGCGAAATGTGCAGACCAGGCACACATCCTTAGGGAGCTTCAGGGCCAGGTGTCCAGCGTTTGTTCTGAGTTTTGCAAGATGTGTTAAAGGAACACTTGGAGTGAATTCACCAGTTGAGGGCACTCATGTCAGGGGTTGATTTTTCATTTCCATCTGCCTCTGATGATAAAATGTTTTCATGAAATACCATAATATTATGTTATATGCTGTACTTTTAGTGCTTTATGATTTTTAATTCATAATTAAAAATCAGTAACTTAGGCTATTAGTGCAAATCTATATTTAGATATTGGCGGATATGGTAATTACATGAGGGCAAGAGCAAAGCTGTGCTAATGTAAATGTTTCTGGTATCAGGATAAGGTGAATTATTGTAATTTACCTTTAAATGATTGTAATTTACCTTTAAATTATCATGCTTTTGAGTAGAATTGTGTGTCACATTTATTGGCATTATTTTCAATTCTTTTATTTTTTTCATACTTTTTAACCAATCAGAACAGGGATCAAGTATGTCCTTTTTATAATCACACAGCCATTTCCTAGCTCAGTGCCTCGCACATGAAATCACTCAAGTATTTTTGAATGGATTAATTTTTTTTTCAAAGAAGCACATCCAAGCATGGTAGCAAGTCTTTTTTTTCACTTGCAATATAGTTATAGGAAGAATTCATTCTGTGTCTTCCAACTGTATATTTTCATTTTGAAATGAAATGCATCCTGTTTATTAAAACATGCAGGCAATATTTTGTGAACTTAAATTCCTGAGAAGAGATTTTTCTAGGAAAATGTTAAATTATATTTATTTAACCTAAATTACTAGTTGAAATTATGAGAAAAAAAATTTTTTTAATTTTCAAAGCTTTTTAAGCTACTTAAATCAGCCTTTGAAACAATGGGAAGAATTTTTTTAAATTTTTTAATATTTATTTATTTTTATGGTGTTGGGCATGGAACTCAAGGCCTCACCCATGGCTAGGCAAGCTTGTATACCACTGAGCCACAGCTTGGAAGATATTCTGTCTTGGCATGGGCATTTGTATATTTGATTTATTTTGCTTCTCAGCAGAGTATGGTTTTTACTTACAGTTACAAATTTACAGATAATAAATTATCAGCATCATTAAATGAAATATAAAACATAAGAGAAACTCAGTAACAATTAATTAAGTAAATTAATACTGTGTAATTTTCCCATATTTTAATTGCTATCAACCAGAAAATTTTCAGTTGATTTTTTTTTCTCTATTATGTACATATTGTTTTTGTTTGTTTGTTTTAAACCTAATCAGGGGGCTGGGGATGTGGCTCAAGCGGTAACTCGCTCGCCTGGCATGCGTGCAGCCCGGGTTCAATCCTCAGCACCACATACAAACAAAGATGTTGTGTCTGCCAATAACTAAAAAAATAAATAAATATTAAAACTCTCTCTCCTTCTCTAAAAAAAAGAAAAAACCTAATCAGGAATTTAAGAATTTGTATTTTCATAATGTAACATTTCTTGGTATCTTTCTGTATAGAAGTAATAATAATTTTATATATCTTGTTTTTTTTGTTTTAACAATAAAATATTTAGATTTCTTTGGTAGTTGATTATAAAGAAAGCATATTTTTTTTTCTTCTAGATTGATGAAAATCACAGTCTTCTAAAGCTTTCTCTAGAGGAGGAAAATTATCTAATTCAGTTGAAGTGTGAAAACCTTAAACAGTAGGTATTAAATTGACTTAAAATTGGTGTTGCATTTTTTTTCCTGAACTCTATAATTTAAAAATATATATTTTCTGTATAAAGAAAATTAGAACAGATGGATGCAGAGAATAAAGAGCTTGAAAAGAAGCTGGCAAACCAAGAAGAGTGCCTTAAGCACAGCAATCTGATGTTTAAAGAGAAATCTGCAGAATATACAGCACTGGCCAGGCAACTGGAAGCTGTTTTAGAAGAAGGAAGACATAAGGTACAGATGTCCTTTATTTATAATCATTTTAATTAGTTTGCCAAAGAGTCCTCTTTTTAAATAGTTAGTATTTCCTGTTGCCAGACTTGTCTTTACCCTGATAACAGGTTAAAGGGAACAATTGTATTTTTGTTCTTTACCCATTTTTCCTTTGAAGAAAAACATATATTATTGGTCCAGAGTTACTCCACCAGGTAAATGGCTGTGTGGCGGGGTAACAGGCTGAGATAGGAAGTACTTCGAAGGTGTAACTCTGCCCCCCATCCTCTTTTAAAAATATAAAATCAAGTTAAATGGGCAAATAATTAAAAATTTTGTTCCAGTCAGGATCTGGTGAGCTGTAAAGCTCAAGTCCTTTTTGACAAATATTTGTTGTATAAATAAATAAATACATGCAAGAATTAAATTATAGTTAGATTAGCATTCCGCCTAAACTAATGCTTTCCTGTGTGTCAGGCAGTCTGCTGGTCCTTGAGAGATAAAGGTGGAAAAACCCCACCTCAGCTCTCAGCATACTCTGCTTCAGCACACTTCAGCCTCAGGACTTTTAAGGACCAACACTTGACTCTCAGATGCCATCTTACGTGTAGGCACTGTAACAGGGCAGGTTCAGGGAAAACTGGAAAGTGTGCTTACCTCAGTCTGGAAGGAGAGGGAATGACTTCAGAAAGTCTCAAAAGGAGAAGTGAGTTTTTCACACTTAAACAATAGTTTGAATCTTGAAAGAACAATGGTAATTTTTTGATTCCAAGAGGAACTAGGTTTAAATGCTGGTTCTGACACATTGTACACTGACATTGTTCACTTCTCTGAACTTTAGTTTTCTTAACCAGTAAAATGGGGTTATGCATTTCTTCATAAGTAAGGCTAAAAAGTGATTATCTGTATCCTGATGATTCTTAGATGTGTATCTCCAGCTAGCACTGTCCACCCACTGAAATCTAGACTCACATATTCTACTACTTACTTGGCATCCCAGTGAATGTAGACATCTCAGGCTTAGTAGGTCTACACCCAAATTCTGAATCATTTCCTCCAAACTTACTTCTACCCATGGTCTTCCTCAATTCCATTAATGTTCATTTCATAAAAGTCAGATAAAATCTAATATTCTTGAAATGTGACTCTTCCGAGTATCACATATATAGTCTATTTTTTTAAACTCTGAGAAACCAATTTAAATTGATTTTGAGAGCACATTGTTGAATAAAAGCTAGATATCAAAATGTACTGCCAATGGCAGAAGTGTAATACAAATTTCTCAGCCCCACCAACTTTTGTTATGAAAATAAGACATGGCTTTATTTTGGATTCGCTGTTAGTGAACCTTGAAAATTATAGGTACTCTCAAATTCCTTCCCAAAAGTAAAGTCCTTAGAGATGTGTCTGCCCTCTCCTTTCTCTCCCACTATAGTGGATGTGGGGCTATCTGTAGTTTCTGTACACTTCTGAAGTGCCATCACTGCCCTATCTCCATAGCCCACTTCAAGGAGATAGTGCCAAGGGCATGAATATTTGTTCTGAGGGCCTTTACTTCCATAGCTTCAGATCCTGCTAGCATCCCTCAGTCAAAATCTTCCTTAGCATTTGTACAGAAGAAATGTTTGTAAATTCTTTCATCAAAATTTAGAACCATGTCTACAGCCTTATGTTAGAGGATACTTCTTCCTACTAGCTTCTTGTTCCTGGACTGGACCTGACTTTCATTCTCATTTTTGTGGCTCCGTCTCTACATTCCTACAGAAAGCCTTTCATATATCTGAATTTTTGATGAGCTAAGCTAGACTTTCTGATAAAATAAGCAATGAGAGAAATATGAAAACTCAAATTCAGGCCACTTAAGTGAATGAATGAAAAGCCAGTTGTGTAACGCGCATGTTTCTCTGTGTGTGTGTCATTCCCCTCCATTCTATCCATTTAAAAATATAATCAGCATTTCATGAGAACTTTATGTATTCCACTGCTGCTGTAGACACCATGGTGCATATAAATACTATTAAAAATAGAAATTGCTCTTATATTGTTAAAAATATGTGGTTGGAGAAAACACCTACCTTAGTTACAAAGCAGTAAAAATGTACACAAAAAAAATCTTTTGTCTCTCAAGCTAACTTTTCAAATACTTATGAAAAAAGTATAGATACTTATATGTGCCTCTTCATGATAGACTGTTTTTAAGCACTTTCTAATTGTCCAATACTTATTTGGGAATAAAAAAGTACAGTATAACCTTGTCACAGCTTTAAATCTCATTTTAAAGAAAGCACATTTAGTTGTTTTACTCTCTTAATAAAAATTACAGGTTTCTGAAGAAGTAGAGAAAATGTCTTCTAGAGAGAGGGCTTTACAAACTAAAATATTAGATCTGGAAACTGAGCTTAGAAAGAAAAATGAAGAACAAAACCAACTTGTTTGCAAAATAAACACTGTAAGTATTATTATGATTTAATATATTGTAAAAACTAAATTAGCACATTCATACCATGCAGTTTAGTTAAATTGTTAAAGTACAAATTGAGGGGTATCAAGGCTGTTTACTGGTAGTATTAAAAATAAATAATATAAAACATAAAATGTAAATGTCAGCATTATGCCAAAGAATTTGTCCTGCCTTCCTGGCAGCATGTATTGCATTGTCCCAGGTCTCATCAGGCATCTCCCCCTGCATGTGCTCTTAATGAAACTTAGAGTTATCATTTACTTATTTTCTTCATGGTATGAATTTTTCATTTTTTAAAGATGAACACAATTTAGAGTGTAAGTTAGATTTTTATATCTGTCTTGAATAATTATGTCTATGAATGTTATTTTTTAGAAATGTATAATTTGATGTTAAGTAAATATTCAGTATTGTTAAATCTGCATATGAATGAATGCTTTGATCCACTTACCCATGAAATGAGAATACCAATTGGCTGTGTTTAATTAGTCTTCTGATGTTTTTCCTTGAATATTTATGAAATACTCAGTTGGCATAAGATACTCTTGAAGCCAGCATTAGTCATGTTTAAATTACTTAACTGACTACTTGATAATGACGTAGAGAATAATGCAACTTTATTTTTCCAGAAGCAGGAGACTTCACGAAAACTTTTTTATTCCAAGTGTCTAAAAAGTGTCTAAAAAGTAGAAAACCTAAAAAGTTAAAAAATTAAATGTTTATGGCATACACTGTTTAATTTCATTGCTTTCACAAGTTTTATGACAATTTAATCAGAATAAAATGTTTATCACTTTTAATTTAGCACAGGCCTTCCCTTTATTTCCAAAAATTTTTTTAAACTCACCATAGAAGTTTCTGATATTATAAAATGTTTATATTCTTTATGTAATTAAAGCCTCTGAAAAAATAAAGCTAAGGTGAGATGGGTTTTGTTGTAATGTTCCAGTATTTAACTAAAGCTACTAATAAGTAGGTTTACTATCTGATAATTTTATACCAGTAATAAAATATAAAATTCTAAGCACAGATTTAGAAAGCTGAAAAATGAGTTTTGTTCCATGATTTTCAGAAACAGTTGAGTGATCAGTTAAGTATTTATCTTATATACATACGTTAGCCCCAGCTGGACTATAGACACCCAGAAAGCCTCTCTCATTAGTAACTGTGTCCCCAGAGTCTTCTGTAGTGCCTTTTCTTATTTTCTACCCAAGTACTCTGGTGGGTGGCGGGGTATAAAATGAAAAATTAAAATAATTAAAGCACATATGGTTGATTTCTACTGTGATTTAGTTGTTGTAATACACATTCACTTAGCCCCATGTTTAACAGATTAATAAATAGGTTTTGCCTGGTATGGTGGTACACACCTATAATCCCAGCAGATCAGGAGGCTGAGGCAGGAGGATGGAAAGTTCAGATCTATCCTCAGCAACAGCTAGGCGCCAAACAACTCAATGAGATTCTGTCTCTAAATAAAATACAAAATAGTGCTGGGAATATGGCTCAGGAGTCAAGTGTCCCTAAGTTCAATACCCAGTATCCACCCCCCCAATCCCCCCCGCAAAAAAAATGAGTTTTATTTAAAACCATCAAAACACATTTCCAATACATAGAACATATTTTCATACTAATTTTTGCCATTTTTCTGCCTAAAAATTCATATTTTATCCCATCAGAATGAACTTTGTTGTTTAAAAAAAATTCTTTAATTAGATCAGTTTACCAAAAAATGCTTTAGATAAAACAGGTTACAGATACTATCTAGTTTCCAAGATTTCTCTAAAGAGACCTTCTGTGTGCTTCACAACAGTGCAATCTGATAGACTGAGCTGCACAAAAAATGCAGCAAATCTTTTTGAAGCATCAACTTGACTCAACAATTTGGAGAGAAAAACAGCAACACAACACACTTGTATTTGTAGGGTAGAATATAAAATTATCAATGGACTTAGGACATACATAAGACTTGAGAGGCATTTCTGGCTTCAGGAGGGTTACAATGGGTTAAGCAGCTGAGCCCATCCTGGAACTTGTACGTTCACCACCACCCCCACCAGAGTACTTGGGTAGAAAATAAGAAAGGCCTATAGGGTGAACAGGGCACTGCAGAAGACTCTGGGGACAGTTACCAATGAGAGAGGTGTTGATAGTCCAGCTGGGGCTAAAGTATGTATGTAAGATAAATACTTGACTGATCACGCAACTGTCCCTGAAAATCACAGGAAAAAACTCGTTTTCCAACTATTTCTAAATCTGGGCTTAGAATTTTATACTTTTTTACTGGTATAAAAATTATCAGATCGTAAACCTACTTATTAGTAACTTTAGTCAAATCCTGGGAACATTACAACAAACCCATATCATTAATTTTTAAGATAATTTAATAATGGACACACATCAGGTATGAGAATTTTTTTTAAATATTAAAAATAATATATTCAGTTATTGTATATAGGTATTTTTATTGTGACTTGTATTTCTCTCTTGTTTTTATTTAGAAAGCACAACATCAAGAAGTATCTTTGAAAGAAATGCAACATAGTCTTGAGAAGTCAGAGAATCAGAATGAGAGTATTAAGAATTATTTACAGTTTCTTAAAACTTCTTATGTAACAATGTTTGGGTAAATCATTGAATTTATTTTCAGCATTAGGTTTTCACTATGAATCTAAAATGTGATTAGGTAAAAAAATATTAATGGTTATGATTTATAAATAAATATTTGAAATATAATTTATTATCTAATTGAAACTTGAAGACATGATAGCTACTAGTTTTCCTTTTTTCTAGATAATTCTCACTTAACTAGTATATTAGTTTTTAGAACATTTTCCTGACACACACAGATACGAGAATCATTTTTTGTGATGTCTGTAGCTACAATTTGTAATAAATCTTGGCCAATTATGAGCCAAATACATGATTTCAAATAATGTATATAGTTGTTTTATATTGTAATGTTATATAAATATAATAAAATATTCTGAATTTTAATTTTTGAGGATGATATAATTATTTTTATGTAATCTTTTTTTGCATTATAATTCGTATTACACGTGTATACCACAATTTTTCATATCTCTGTTTGTATATAGAGTATGTTGATACCGAGTTCATCTCTTCATACATGTACTTTGGATAATGATGTCCATCACATTCCACCATCCTTGCTAATCCCCTGTCCCCTCCCTTTCCCTCTCACCTCTCTTCCCTATCTAGAATTCATCTATTCCTCCCATGCTCCTCCTCCCTACCCGACTATGAGTCAGCCTCCTTATATCAGAGAAAAAGTTTGGCATTTGTTTTTTGGGGATTGGCTAACTTCACTTAGCCTTATCTTCTTCAACACCATCCATTTACCCTCAAATGCCATGATTTTATTCTCTTTTATTGCTGAGTAAAATTCCATTGTGTATATATGCCACATTTTTTTTATCCATTCATCCACTGAAGGCATCTAGGTTGGCTCCACAGTTTAGCTATTGTGAATTGTGCTGCTATAAACATTGATGTGGCTGTGTCCCTATAGTATGCTTTTTTTAAGTCCTTTGGGTATAGTCCGAGGAGAGGACAGCTGGGTCAAATGGTGGTTCCATTCCTAGATTTCCAAGGAATCTCAATACTGCTTTCCATATTGACTGCACCAATTTGCAGTCCCATCAGCAATGTATGAGTATACCTTTTTCCCCACTTATTGTTGTTTGCATTCTTAATAGCTGCCATTCTGACTGAAGTGAGATGATATCTTAGAGTAGTTTTGATTTGCATTTCTCTGATTGCTAGAAATGATGAGCATTTTTTCATATATTTGTTGATTGATTGTATATCCTAATCTGAGAAGTGTCTGTTCAGGTTATTGGACCATTTATTGATTGGGTTATGAAAGATCTAGACAATGAAAACTACAGAATCCTAAAGAGAGAAATCAAAGAAGACCTTAGAAGATGGAAAGATCTACCTTGCTCTTGGATAGGCAGAATTAGTATTGTCAAGATGACTATACTACCAAAAGCACTATACAGATTTAATGCAATTCTGATCAAAATCCTAATGGCATTCCTCATAGAAATAGAAAAAACAATCATGAAATTCATCTGGAAACATAAGAGACCCAGAATAGCTAAAGCAATCCTTAGCAGGAAGAGTAAAGCAGGTGGCATTGCTGTACCAGACCTTAAACTATACTACAGAGCAGTAGTAACAAAAACAGCATGGTATTGGCACCAAAACAGACTGGTAGACCAATGGTACAGAATAGAGGACACAGAGACTAACCCACAAAATTACAACTATCTTATCTTAGACAAAGGTGCCAAAAACATGCACTGGAAAAAGGATAGCTTCTTCAACAAATGGTGCTGGGAAAACTGGAAATCCATATGCAACAAAATTAAATTAAACCCCTATCTCTCACCATGCACAAAACTTAATTCAAAGTGGATCAAGGAATTAAACATAAGCCAGAGACTAGGCATCTAATAGAAGAAAAAGTATGCCTAATCTTCGTCATGTGGGATTAGGTCCCAACTTCCTTAATAAACTCCTACAGTGCAAGAATTAAAACCAAGAATCAATGAAAAATGGGATGGAATGAAACTAAAAAGTTTCTTCTCAGCAAAAGAAACAATCTGTGAGGTGAACAGAGAGCCCACATCCTGGGAGCTAATTTTTACCTCTCACACATCAGATAGAGCACTAATCTCTAGGGCATATAAAAGAATTCAAAATGATGATATAATTATATCCTTCCTAAAATACCAAATTTTCAATAAACTTAATATTGCTTTAAGTATATGCTGAGTTGCCATTATAATTTGTTAGATTTTAAATATAAAATTTTAAGTCATAGTTATTAAATGCCAGTTGATGATGACAGATGAAAGCAAATTGGCATGCATTGTTTCTTTATAAAGAATAGGTGTTCAGTCTGTCCTGTGATTACATAATTTCTTCATTCATTTTGTGCTAGTGATTATCAGATATTATTATAGCCATCCTAAAGTTGAGTTTTAACTGTCAGATTAAAGGGGAACCACTAGTCCCACCCTTGTAGTGGCCAAGCCACATGGGATGATCAGAATAAGCACTTTTAATACCAAATAGCTTTATGAGAAGCTCTTTATTATTGGGATGAAGTATAGCAATCAAGAACTTGCTCCCAGTAATTTCACACCCTTTGTGCCAAGGCAGGATCTTCTAAAAGTTGATGGATGTGGCTCATAAGGGATCAAATGATAGAAACTCCTCTTGGACAATGACTTCAGAGCTATTTGTTCAAAGCAATGGCTTGAAGATCACCCAAAAAGGGGTGTGAGGGATAAAAAAGGAGTAATAGCTTATGAGCAGAGCCATCTCTCCAAGGACTGGTATTTCTTCTCTGATCAGAAACAGAGATGTGTTTTCCACTCCTCACCTCACTCCTATGACTGCCATTTCATACACAGGGGCAACTTCCTAGTGATTCCACTGCTTCATAGTATTTTTCTCAAAATAGCAAAATATAGAATGTCAGAAGCTGGTCATATTTTTTTGCCTAACAATTTCTAGCAAGATTAAATATTGCTCCTGGACCTGTTTAATCATAGAACCTGTGATACTAAAAAACATACTTGACCCTTTATTCTTCAAGGCTCCTTAAGGCAGACAGAGCCTTAAGAAATACCCACATGAAAGAAAAGGAAGGCTCTTAAGTATTGCTCACTAGACTGTGATCTGCAGTTCAAGGGAGAACTGCATCTTATTTATATTTGTATCTCAGGCCCGATGTAATACTTGGATATATATTAGGTCCTCAGTTGATGTTGATGGATGAATGGATGGATGTTGAAAGAGAGAGTATTCATACTTCTGTTTTAGATATGAAAAATGAAGGCATAGAAGGTTTAACTACCATGGCCACAGAATAAAACTTAAAACTTTTAAAGGTGGTATTTGAACTCAAAGTCTTCTTACCACCAAATTGAAGTTCTGAATACAGTGTTCTGTCTTTTTCTGACCACATTAGTGGAACAGCAGCAGCAGCAGCAGCCCAGCAACAGCATTGCTGTTCTTTTTAAGCACTTGCTATGTTCTGAAGTTCTAAGTGTAATATACATATTAACTCATTTATTTTTCAGGAAACAAAGACACTTAAGAGTTAAGTAACTTGCCCCTGGCCACACAGCTTGAATGTGGTAGGCATTCAATTCACATCTAGAGTCTCTGCTCTTAACTATTAACCATATTACCTTTGCATCCATTTCATAAGTAAAGGTAGTGGGGTTTTTTTAACAGTAATGCATTTGACATATTTATGAATGTTCTTTTCTATATTTTTAATATTCTTAAAAATAATTTGTGTCTGTGGTATTTAAATATCAGTATTTGCAGTGTTTTAAGTAGACTGAGGAGGAAGAGATTATCGTAGAGTCCCTAAGGTTGGTACTTAGCTACTGTTGACGCGGTACAACAAAAGAAGTTTGCTAGATCCTGGAAGAACTTTGGCAATCTCTGTGCTTAATGCTCTTCTGTGAAGCCTTATGCTTCAGCATCAGCAGTGCCCCAGTTAGTGCCCTAGTGTCCATGAGGAGTGTTCTGCTTCCAGCTTTTATTTTAATATTTATTTTTTAGATCTAGGTGGACACAATATCTTTGTTTTTATGCGGTGCTGAGAATCGAACCCAGTGCCTCACGCATGCTAGGTGAGCGCGCTACCACTTGAGCCACAACCTCAGCCCCTGCTTCCAGCTTTTTACCATCCCAGGAATCCTGTTTCCCAATAGTTCTAACAGTTTTGCATGGTTTTCCTGTGGTATTCAGGGCCTCATGACTTTGTTATGTAACAGTTGCTTCCATTGTGTTATTACTTCTTCCTGTGATCCATTCTTCCTCCTCACTTGATTTCTTGGATCTGATCTCCATTTAACTTGGCCTTTCTCAACTTGGGATCTGCCACTGGGTTTCTTGTGAGGTATTTCTTCCACTTGATTTTTTCTGACCACTAATGTGGTTTTTAAGGACAAGCATTCTTTTTCTGTTGAAATGTTAAAACTTTTAATTAAAAACTGTTGGTTTTTGTTTTTAGTTCCTGAAAGTTTTCTTTTTTTTTTTAAGTTCTATAATTCCAGTATATTTTCATTAAAAGACTTCCTGTCTCCTCCATTGGTTCTACTTCAGTAGCCCCCCCCCTTTTTTTTTTAATGTTCTGCTTGCCATCTTTCCTTCCAAGCACCATAAGTGAGCTTCAGTTTTCCTTGTCTAGTCATGGCCCTGGGTTTCCTCAATACCTGCCAGTAGCCTGTCATGCGCATCTGTTGGGCAGTAGCAAACCAAGTGGTGAAAGACGTGATGGCCTCTGTTCTCATGCGCCTCTGGACCTATTCCATCTACTGAGTTTCATTAAGGAATTGTTTTGTTCCCAAACTTCTTCAGTAACAAGCAGCAGTTCTTTCCCAACTAACTACAAAGGTGGGAAACACTTCACTGGAGAATCAGACCACTGCAAGATTTTCTCAGGTCAGCAGGTCTGGTGCACCAAACAGCGAGTCTTTCTTTGGGGGTGAAAAACAATGATGGTCTGCAGTTGGAAAAAGTGCACAGTACTTTAAAGAATAAGTCTAATCTCTCTGCTGGCTTGTGATTTCTTCGTGGTTTTTATATTTAGGTTAAAAAAAGTCATAAAATTGTTGAGTATCATTCATTTTCGTAATTAAAAAAAAGCATCTCTGTATATACGCTCACATATGTTGTTAAGTGCATGGAGGAAGGCATAGAATCCTGCATGCCTTGGTGTAGGGGTGGGGAAAACAGTAATAACTTCCTGGATGTGCTTTTATTTTGTTTACTTATTGTAGTGAGATTTGATTACTTTTGTAGTCATTTTTTTCTCTCAGCAGATAAATAAAAAAAATTAAGGTCAGGGCATCTGCGATAAGTGTCAGTGTGTGGTTGGTAAG